ATTTGATAGTGATCTTTGTTACTCTGTTTCATAAACATCCCTTTTAACACTTTTTTTTTAACTCTTTGTTTTTTGTCTTTACTGACAATTTAAAGGAATGAGCTCTGTTTATATTCCGGACATACCTGATTAGCAAGATAGTTTCCTACTGTGAAGCAGAACAAAAATGTAACATTTACCCATTGGCATTTTTCTTATAACTTCTTAGGAAATTGTTGCTGTTTCTGCTTAGCTTAGAATTTTTTTTTTTTTTTCCAACTCAAAGGTGTAAATTATATGTAGTAGAATCAGTAAGGATCTACAGCTTGTATCTTTCAGTAAAGTCTCAGGTTGACTTCTAAGTCTGCATCTGATTAACTTTAGATGTCCAAAATTAGATGTTTGGGAATTTTTATTTAAATAGTCTGGAGTATAAATTCAGAATAAATAATTTGGGTATTTGTTTCAAATTAATATGCTTGAATTTAATATTTGATTTAACATTTGTTGTGGAGTTGATTTTTGTGATTTGCTTATTGAAATATTTTAATTTATATTTAGAATTTTAAAATGTCTCAAGTGTGTTCTGTTCTTGTATTAGCATTCTGTTAATTCAACTTATAAGTCAATTCTGGGAGTTAGAATATATGTATCAAAGTAGTGGATAGCTCTAGATATACCTTATGTGTGTTTATACAAATATCTGTGCATATTGACCATTAGGCAGACTTATATAATGTATCGTCTTTAATTGTTTTGTGTAAGTAGATGGGGAATATACTTTTGCATATTCCTTTTCCCAGAGGCTATTTTGTTATAAATAAGTAAATTCATTTGGAACCAGTATCTTAGTTCCTGTATCTATTTTTTTTCAGAGAAAATATAGTTGGATAGTTCTTTGTTAAGTTTTACCAAAATGTTAGCAATTTTGAATTTTGACAACATTTGGGTATCTCTAATTCAAAAATCAAAAATCTGAAATGTTCCAAAATCTAAAACTTTGTGGCCAGCATGCCACAAATGGAAAATTTCACACATTGATCTCATGTGATGGGTCACAGTCAAAAGGCAGGCACACTAAAAGTATTGTATAAAATTGCCTTCAGGCTATATATAAGAGGTACATAAAACATAAATGAAAACACTTGGATATCTCAGAAATTATGCAAAAACAAAGACATACATATATGAAAACAAAATATATCTTCAAATGTAGTTGGGAAAGGGTAAGAAGTCATAGTATAAGAGAGTTAGATACTGAAAGTCTTTTAATTTTTTTTTGCTTAGGATTTATTTTTTGGTAATTAGCATTTTGCAATTTCCGTAGTTATAGTGACCTTAACTTTTGAATTTTAGATTATTTACAATATTATGCTTACTTACACATTTTAAATAAATAGTCATATGTTATTTTAACTGTATGACTTTTTTGGCCTACACCAAAGTTCAGGACATTGGCAAATTATGATTTGACAGGGAGAATCTGAAAATGTTATTGTAGTCATCCATTATAACTTATTTTCTTTCCAAATTTATTAGTTACTTTGAAAGTCAGATAATTTTCTTCCTTTCTTACTGTTTTGAAAGAAAATTGTTGATAGTTGCCAAATCATGCTTCTTTCTCTTAAACTTAATACTAATACCTTCTCTAGTAGGTTTTATGATATTATCTCTCTGGATAGTGGTTTGTTAATATGTTGCTTTTTTCCCATAGAATATTTTCACTAAGATTTTATCTTGATGTCTCTAGAAAAAATTAGAATATTTCCTTGTCCCTAAATGTGTATTCATTCTCAAACATGAATGTATAGCTCTACTTTAAAATGAGTTTACAGTTCTAATAATAATGAATGATGTTTAATTATGTTGTCATTATTAAAATACATAATTTTTATTCTTATTTCTTGATTGTCTTTAGAACATTTACTACTCTGTTACTTGAGTGAGAGATACACATCTGTAACAATTTTTAAATAGCTGTTTTATTAAATGTAGATAAATGGGACAATATTTGTTTTTTAGAGAGTCCTGAATTTGCAGTTCTCTCCAGTTATTACTGCCTATTCAATTTTGGATTGTCAGTTGGAACTTAACATCACAGGCTTTTACCTGATACTTGGAGAGTCAGCAAAATTGTAAATTCACTCTTCCTATGATCAAAGTTGGGAGTTAACTTTAATTTTGAAAATTTCTTGATAAAACTGCTAAATTCCAAACTATTTTATACTCTTTGTGGATAGGCTGTTGGTGTTTATAATGTGTATTTTTTAACTAAAGCTGAAAAGACAGTTTCTCATTTCATATTCCATATTAGTTTATGTGAACAATCAAGCTTTTACTGTGTTAGGATCTAGGAGATTGTTGCCTGGACTTTAAATCCAGCCTTCTAGTATTTTTAGGAATAGGAATGTTAAATCAGCATAGTTAGGGAAGCCCTTTATACTAGCATTTTTATTTTCTTGGAATCTTCGTGTACCAGTAGTTTCATAGTTATGAATAGCAAACATAATTTATATACACACGTTTGTCAGTATTCTGTATTAAGCAGTGGGTGTTCCGTTTCACAATTTTATCATCATTGCTTTTGTTTGCATACTTCACAAATTTTTTAATTGAGGAGGTTCACCTATGAGAATACCTGTAATTATTTGTATTCCTCCTTTAATGGTATACCTGTTAAATCATCACATTTGTCAGCGATTTGAATGTAATAGAATTGATTCTTGCTCTGGTAGATATATAACAGTGTAAGAAATTAAAATTTTAATATATTTAGTTCCTCAGTTTTTATTATCTCAAGTTTTTAATTTTCCCTGTTGTAATTTAACCAATTTATCTTCATTTTGAACTTTTTATTTAGTAGGTCTTCTCTATATTTATAACTCTTTTTATCTTTCTGTATAAGGGTATCTTGGTCAGTTACCTGGAATTCTTTTTCCACTACAAGTGTAATCATTAGTTTTCTTCTTTTTAAATTCAAATCAGTATATATAATGTAATGGATTTGTTCCAAATGTGTCTGGTGAATTTAATATTAAAATGTATGTTGGAATTTCAGTGCCACATAATTTATTAATGAGTGAATTCTATTTAAGGCAAGCTGTCCTAGACTTCAATCAGGAGCATTGAAAATTCTCTTACATACCAGTTTTCGCTATGTGAAAATGTTTAAAGATGTTTTAGTATGACTCTTGTTATATGGTGTAATGAGTCAGAGTAATCAATGAAAAAGATCTAGGATCTTTTTATGCCTCAGTTTTTCATCTCTAGGAGAGTTGTATATTAATTATCCATATTTATGGAAGAGATTTGTAATTCCATTTCTGTATTACTACTTCTTAGTTTAGAAAGTATATGATGTGATTGTTTTTATTACCAGAATTATATTAATTGCTTGTCTTAGGTTTAACTTTTAAGTTAGTTTGTAGTTCTCTCAGATGTCATTGTTGTCCTGGGAGGAGGATCACTTGAACCCAAGGAGCCAGAGTCTAGCCTGGGTAACCCTGACTCAAAAACCTTAAAAGAAAAAAAAATTCTAAAATTAAATTTACTTATTTTGACTTATGATTGTTGAAAATGTCGAACTTAGCAGTAAAAACTGGTTGTGGACAGATCTGAAATTGGCTGATTGATGTGCAAGCAACTCATAGTTCATTATACATGCGTATGCTTCTGTGTGTTATATTTTTAGAAAAATTGATAATGTGTGAAGGACATGAATATATTCTGAAAATAGCTTCTTTTTAAAATTAATTCTTGAAGCTCCCTCTACAAAATTTGTATGTCATCTGCTGACTTTTTGAGGTGAATCTTTTTTTATGGCTGTTTACATCTGTGCTTTCTATACTGTACTTGTTTTTTGAAAACATGGAATAAAAATTTAAAAAATCATATAGAGTATACCAATTAAATCTCTAGTTATCATTTACATTTCTCCCAGAGGATTAATCCAGTTTATTGGATACAGATGTAAAGTGTTGGATCTGTAAAACAAAATAATAAGAAAGTAACTGGTGAAAAATTAGTGAGAAACAGTGATTTAGTTTTTTTCTGCCTGACTTAGTGAGTTAAGGTTGTTCTAAATTAATGAAATATAAATTTGTTATTTGAATATATTTGGAGAATATAGAATTTAGTATGAACAACACAAGTGTTCAAGTCATGATGGTGGTTTTAGTAGTAGTCTAAAGAATTCCAAATTAAAATTTTGAAAATAAAACATTCTGGTTTAAAGTATAAAGAGATAAAAAGTTTTCCTTTTTAAAACTGGTTCATAAGGGACTTGTGTTACTAAAAGCCCTCAACCTTTTGAATTTTAAATTTGTTAATGATTTTCTTAGTTTGTGGTATTTTCTTTTTATCAGGTACCTAGATGATTGCTGATAATTTAAAATACTTTATATACATATGTTACAGAAATAGATATAGTTAAGTTATAATTAACTTTTGATTTTTCATGCCAGTGACAGGAAGAATCTGACATTTTCAACAGTCATAAGTCAAAATAAGTAAATTTAATTTTAGATTTTTTTTTCTTTTAAGGTTTTTGAGTCAGGGTTACCCAGGCTAGACTCTGGCTCCTTGGGTTCAAGTGATCCTCCTGCCTCATCCTCCCACATAGCTGGGACTTCATACATGTGCTGCTTTGCTCAGTTTTAATTTTATATCTTTATGTGAACATTTTCAGCAAATTTACTTTCGTAAATTTTTTTATGTAAGAAAAATATAAAATATTGAAATGTGTGAGTATTATGAACTAAACGACAACTGGCAGTGGTGGTTTAGAAACATACCTGGAGGTTAGAGAAAATGAACTGGAATTAAAAACTTTCTATCAATAGAGTTAATTACAATAAGATTATAATTGATGAATGAGTTTGGTATTTTTATAAGCATAATTTAATATATTTTCCTTGTGTCTCCAAAATTGAAAAAAGAATCATGTTTAAGTCTTAAGTTTTAAAATATATTTAGGAAATAATTAATTTTGTCCTTTTTCTTTTTCTTCTTCTTCTTTTTAGGGAATGAGTATTATAGAACAATTAGATCCTGTATCTTTTAGCAATTACTTGAAGAAATACCATAATACTATATGTGGAAGACATCCCATTGGGGTGTTATTAAATGTGAGTATCCTTAGGAAGCTTTTTAAATGTGAATAACCTTAGGAAGCCTTGACTTAAAATATTCCATCCTGTCATGTTTCAAAATATGTCATTATCATGGTGATATATCATCATCATTTGTTTTATGTACATGTAGTTAGTTTTTTTCTTAGTACCTTTAACATAATTTTGGATTTCTGTTCTTTGGTTAGTTGAATAAATTTATCAGTGGGATATACGTCACTACTTTGTTAAATACAAAACAATAAACTACTTTTCTATTAAATATAGGAAGTTGTTTAGAGAGTCATATCTTCTCTTGACTCTCTGTTGATTCCAAAGGTTCTTTATAAATATAAGGTAAAATGACTTTACAAAAGATTATTAATTTTTTATTTTTTAATGTCCTAGATTATAAAAAATAAGTGAAGCTCCTGCTCTTTTGTGTACATTTCAAATTAAAGTCAGATAAAAAGAACAGACTCCAACATATTAAGATGGAAGTGGCCAAGATTTGGTTTAGAGAACAGCAATAAATGTCTTGTGGCTTTTTAAAAAACTAGTTTTATTAATTATAGAAAGAAGCAAGGTGGATGATGACTGATGTTTAATTATCAAGAACATGTGTGTTTTGTCTTTAAAAACAAAAATGATAATGCTTATTTAATTTAAAAGATGATAGGAGGCAGAAGTTTTGGTTAGCTGGGTTTTAGAAATATATTTAACATTAATTTCCCCCTAATAAATAAATAGTATGGACTTTCTGAAAGAAAATTTAACCTAGTATCCTATTGCCCCAATGTAGAACCCTCTAAAAACTTAAATTGAGCAATAAATATATCACGGTAATTTTGAAATAATTGAATATTTACTATGTACACAGAATTGAAAACTTGGAACATAGTGGGTTCAGAAATAAGAGAGAAGAGATATACTCAAGAAGTAAGAGTGGGCTCATTTGCTTGGAAAGGTAGAGAAATAATGGAGCAGGTAATATAGTCCAGAATAGTCTAGGGTAAGACCTTAAAGTTAGTGTTCTCTAATATGATTTGAAAGCTAATGTGGGTTTTTAGGAAGATGTTTTCTCATAATAAGTATGGATTGACCAAAAGAAAAGCTGTCAAGAACTTAAAACTAATTTCTGAAGCTTAAGCTAGAATAAACTGCACTAATTTCCTAAATTCTGAATTGAATGAAGAAAAATTTATAAATTATATGATGAACCCAGTCTACATTTAAAATAAAAATTTTAGCATACTTTTTAGATCTGGAACTTGATTTGTATATGTTTTAAATTTAGTCAAAATTAGACAAAAGCAAACCTCCAATATATTAAGAAAGACGTGGCCAAGAATTTGTTTAGACAATAGTGATAAATATATTGCAGCTTTGAAAAAAAGTGGTTTTATTAATTATGGAGAAAAGTAAAGTGGATCATGACTGATATTTAATTTTCAAGAAACTAAAGAGTTTCTTTGAGAGAAAGAAATAAGCAGTCCTCATTTTGTTTTCCAATTTAATATCAGGCAATGAGAGAAATTTAAGAAGTCTAAGCTTCACTCACAATATAAAAACATCAAACTATTAGTACATTCAGAGTGCTCACTTTTTTTATATGATGTCCTATATGATGTCTGTCATAACCAAGATTTTTTTTTTCCCCTAGGCTATCACAGAGCTCCAGAAGAATGGAATGAATATGAGCTTTTCCTTTTTGAATTATGCCCAGTCAAGCCAGTGTAGAAACTGGCAAGACAGTTCCGTGAGTTATGCAGCTGGAGCACTCACAGTCCACTGAAGCTCTGAATCCTCAGGGATGCCACCTGCACATACTCATACTCTGTCTGGGGTCCCAGCCTAGCCTCTACCAAGATATTGGTTCTGGTTTGGGGGGGGGATTCTGAAACCTCAAACTAATAGAACTTTCTTCTCTTTTCTAGTAGGTGTAGTCCTTCTTAATTTCAGTTCATTAAAAAATGCTTTATAGTTTTGGGCAGTGGAAGGAAGGCTGGCATCAAAAATATTTTGATTATAAAAGGTGACAATGTAAGGCCCAGTTGTGGCAGACAGATTTTTGAGAGTAACTTGTAAAGCATTTACCATATCCTAAATTTGCACTCTTTGCAGACTTGTGCACATATATTCCGCTTTCAGAATAGTTTTGCAAATTGTACACAAACAAACAAAAAGGGGTGGAAGCTTTTTAATAAAGAAATTGCATTTATAAATGATCTGTATTAGAATATAATAAATCTCCAGTTATAGACAATTACTACCCGTATTGTACAACAGATACCTTCTATTTTAGTTGCTAATAAAGGGCTACACAACTCAAAATAGTCTGATTTAAACTTATTGCTCTGTGGTATATGAAAATTGTTTTTTATTAATTCCATCTCAGAATTGTTAAATATGGTAACCCCCAGCTCTTATGTAAAAATATATTAGGATGTATTTTATATTTTACCTATTTATGTGATATTTTTTAAATCACAGAAATGAGAGTTATATAATTTTAAAGTTAACTTTTAAAATTACATTCATTTGTCTTTTTGTGTGTGACATCCCTTTATGTCATTACTATATTGTAATAGAATATAGTGAAAGAACATACCTGTAGTCCTTTACTTCAAATATCATGTTTGACAGTCTGCAAATGAGGAAACATTGAAGAGTGGTGTTAGTGATTTTCAAATCATTGCAGACCAAACACTGCTATACTTTTGTAGTGTTTTAATCAATTTGACCCTTTTACTTGAATTTTTAGTAAGAAATCATTAACAATATCAATAATAACAACAAAAACCCACTGGACTTAAACTTTTACAATTTTTGTTGTTGTAATTTTTGGTGCGGTTCTTCCAACTAAAATTATGGTATGGTGTTGTATTTCTTTCTTTTAACACAGACAAATTGTAGATACTTTAAGGAAAAAAAAAGTAATTTGTTCACTCACTGAAAAAAAAATTTAGCTACCATTCATGTTCTATATTATACTTATTTTAGCACAACATTGGGTATCCACATTATATTGCAGAGTGCTTATATCTTCAGTGTTATGCCGAAATATAGCAATTTTAGATGCCTTGTACCAATTGTACTTAAAGATTTGCATTCTCATTTATTAAATATCAACTCCCTAAACTCAAGAATGAAATAAAATACCATTACCTTTTGGATTCAAAATTACGCACCTACATATGTGTAGAAATTGTAGTTTTCCACATTAGTGATTTGTTTTTCATCATTTAGATACACTTTTGAGTACCATAAATATTTATTTTTTGTTTAATATACATTTTAAAAGTTTCCAAATTGAGTACAGAATGAAGTTTTAAAAGAATGTTTTCTGAATATCATAGAAACATAAGCATTTTAGAAAATTTGGAAAATATTGAGAAGTGTAAAGAAAAGGAAATATAATCTGTAATTTCACGGCCCAGAGATAATACTGTTAATATTTTTCTGTGTTTTCTTTTAGTATTTGTCTATGCTATTTACATGTATGAATGTGTGTATATGTGTTTGTATGGGTGTATAATAACAAAATTAAGATATTGCTGACCATATAGTTGTTTACCCTGGTTTTTATAGCCTAACATCATATCATAAGCACCTACTTCTGTCTTTGTAAATGGTTTTTTAAAAATGGATGGCTAATATTCTGTTGTCTATGAAAATGCTATAACCAGTTCTCTCTTTGGGTGTTAGGTTGTTTCTAATCTTTCACAATTTTATAGTGGGATGGACATCCTTATATATAAAATTCAAGTTCTATATTAGACTTGTTCTCTAGGATATAGTTATAGGAATAGAATAAATAGTTTACATAGTAATAACTTCTTAGACTTTTTAAAACATTGCCAAATTACCCTTCAGAAAGATTGTACCAAATTAGTAGCATTGGGTACCCATTGTGGTGCCCCTTCACAAACATAATTTTTTTGATCTTTGACAATTTGTAAAGAAACTAATTGGATGTTTCTTCAGTTTTATTTTATATTATTTTACTAAAAATTGCTTCCTAGTTGATCATTTACTGTTCTGTACTTTTATAGTTGATTGATTTTAAAAAAGACAAGAGGATTGCTGAGGTTGAGTGGCGTTAACAGTCCTGCACTTTTAAAACTAGAATATTTCAATCTTACTCCACCCTTTTGTGGAACATGAGCATATCTTTTCTATCTAATTATGAAGTAGAAGGAATTCCAAACTGATAGTTGAATGTTGGGTTTTAGTTTCATCTCTGCCCCTCGTTAGCTTTCTCATCTATTTCATGTCACATTGGAATTTTCACATCTGTAAAACATGGAGATGTCTCAAAGTACTTTGATGTTATTATTTCATTTTTTAATAGATTATGGTGTCACATATGTTAAATAGCTACATGATTGAATTAGATCAGAGGAATTATCTTTTGACTTCAACTCTATGTAGGTGAAAATGAAAATCTTGTTCTTTAACTTAAAAGGGAAATTAATTTGCATTATTTAATGCAGTTAATATTACCTAAATTGTTGATCTTAAGCTTTCCTATTTTAAGTGCCTTTAAAATTTTTTTTATATTTCAAATTTAAGATGTGAAGGAAATTATTAGTAGTTCTGTACAGTTGCTTCTTTATTATGTATTTTTGAGTTGTTGGCAGCAGCTTTTTTTTTAACCATAAATTTCACAGAGCAGAATATTCATGGATTCTTCACTGTCCCACTAGTGGTTCCTTGAGAAATATATGTTAAAGATTAGGTCAGTAATCAGGTAAGTGCTCAGTCTTGGGTGATATTAAATCTTGTACAGAGTAGAATAAAGAACTAGCCAGATGTTCTAGTGCTTATATTTACATATTTTAATGTGAATATTGGTTTCCTGAACTAGTTAATAGTTATTGTTCTAGATCTCAAATTTTGCCTTGGAAGCAAATAGTTCATTCCCCTAGATTAGGGGTTGGCAGATGTTTCCTGTGAAGGACCAGATAGTAAATATTTTAGGCTTCACAGGCTCTATGGTCTCTAGGTACAACTCTTCTCCTTTGCCATTGTAGTACAAAACTAGCCATAGACAAAATGGAGTCAAACAAATGTGAATATATTTTAATAAAACTTTATTTACATAATAATGGTGCACGGGATTGGCCTGCAGACCATAATTTGCTGCCTGTTGTCCTAGATTGTATAGTTTGTTTGTTGTTCAAAGTTAGCTAAAAATCGAAACTGCAACAAGTGATTTTAAGTTTATTCTTTTCAACCATGTCTTGAGTTGATGCAGTCTAATTGGATTTGAGTGTTATGATCACAAAGGCAAATGGAACCCAGTATGGAAAACTAGGTCTTTATTTGCTGAAATCCATTGAGTTTACTTTGCTGACTTATTAATCAAAAGGAGGGATCAGTGGAGATTGATTGTTACAAATTCTTTATTTTTTATTTTGGTTCTGGGGGTTGAACCCAGTACTTGTGCATGATAAAGTACATGTACTACTGCTGAGCTACATCCTTAACCTGTTGCAAATTCTTTAAATTAAGTTTTGGCTACCTAGATGATAGCAAAGGATAGATCAAATGTACCTTTTGATCTACCTGAGTATTTTAGGACACTAGACCAATATTTTTTTAAAAACTATGAAATGTGAGAGTTTATTTTGCTATGTAGACTTTTGGAAAAATAACTACTATCTTCTATCATTTTATTTAAACAATGACCCCCATCCCCCCACCCCTCACACTATTAAGGAATGTCTTAAACTCAGAATAAAGGAGAGTAATTTAACTTGAATAACGTTAAGTTGATAAAAACAATTACTACATTGTTACCTTCTCATTTATTCAGTATCACTGTGAGGAAAACACATACCTCATCAAGTAATAGTATCTAGTATATAAAGTGGCACCTGGGAATAGCTGTGATATAGTTGTTGAAAAACCTAATGTAGTCGTAAAGTGTTAACAGTCATAAGTCACATGCATTCTGCTGTTTAGACTAAAAATTGTATCCTATTAGGTTAAATTGTAAGTGCCACATAGTAAGAGGACCACTATGAACTGGAGTGGCAATACAGAGGCAACCAAAATGATGAAGGCCTATGTGAAGAGTAGGATGTAGTTGAAGAAATTTGTGATATTTATTTTGGAGAAGATAAGTTTAAGGAGAGGGGGTTTTCTTTAGATGTTTCAATGATAGTCAAATATAAGAGGAATAGAATTGTTGTGTTTTATAGGTAGAAAATTAGGAGTAAAAAATAATGGTTTCTGGTTCCACATATAATGTACTATATGAGGATTTCTAGTAATGAAAATTGGCTCTGTCCTCATAAAATCATTGGAAATATTCAGACAAAATTTAGGTGAGTGATTTTCAAAGTAGAATTCTCAAAGTAGAACTAATAAAAACTTCAATATCACCTGGAGATATTTTATAGATGCATATAACTTTAATAATTACTATTATATATCACCAAGCTAATGAAATTAGTACAAATAAAATGGAATTTACCAGGGGTTGGGGTTGTGGCTCAGTGGTAGTGCACTTGCCTAGCATGTATGAGGCACTGGATTCGATCCTTAGCTTCACATTAAAAAAAAATAAATAAAATAAAGGTATCGTGTCTATCTACAACTAATAAAGAAATGATTTTTAAAAAATAGAATTTATCTCTTGTATAAAACTTAAATTATTTTTAAATAAAAAATAATTTTAATTACTTATCACTAACTTTGAACAGATTATAAGTTGAAAAGATGATTATCACTTGATGGTAGAGCCTTTAGATCAATTAGTTCCTTTGTTTTAGTTAAAGCATTTAGATAGAAAACAAAGTTCTGGCTATTTTCTAATATAAATTTAAATTGATCTTTGAATAAGTGGCTACTTTCTTAAACAGGTGCTTCTTCAGTCTAAAACACAGCCATATCAGTAGCAGAAAAGGGTACTGAAAAAAGTAACTGTTTTTGTATCTTGGTGTCAGAATATTAGGAGGAAAACCAAAATCAGCTGGCAGATAAAATTTTTCCTGTTGTTTTTCTGTTACTCTCAGCACACAACCTGCATGTATGACTGAGTGGTGTATGGCATGCCATCATTAGTGACCATGCTTCACATTCTTAAGATGCTCCCTCAGGTAATAGTGATAACTGAGACCTCTGTCTCCTTAAGGTTGCTATTTTGGGTGGATTTTGTTTGCCTATCTTATCTCTACAAGTTCATTACTACTATGTGAAGAACTTTAGTGTTTCAGATTTGTCATGTATTCCAGGGTTTTCTGTGGATTCCAGAGTGGTTTAACCTAGATGTATTAGATTATTCTTCATGTGTGGATGTGCAGAGGTATGCTTGCACATTCAGAGTTTTGGTCATCACACTATGAAAATAATGGGGGAAAAAAGCCAGTTTTTTTGAAAGCCATAATATAATGCAATTGGTTTCTTATTATAAATTGTAAATGATGTTCAAGTGCACACTTCATACTGCAAAGTAAAGTTTGTAACTATTTGACGTGGTCATATTTCCCTGTCATCCTAATAATGAAACCAAAGTGAATATACATGGGCCATTATTAAAAAAAAAAAAAAAAAAAAAAAAAAAAGCTACTAAAGGCCAAATGTATTCAACTATAAGGAGGACCTGAGTTCTGATCTTGAATCTGTCAATGTAAACTTCTGAAGAATATTTTATTTTTTCTGACCATGATATTCTGAGTTATTTACCTGATGTGATGTTATATACATTTAAGTAAAAAGTGCTAAAACAAGATGAAAACTAAAACAGCAGATCATATTGACTGAGTTTTGTGAGTTTCTAAAAAAATAAAGGTATTTTTAACTTAACTTTTTTATAAATGGAATTTTTTCTGAGAATTTTTTTCCTTTTAAAATGTATTCTTTTGAATCTGATTAATAAGTAGACATTCAATTGGTGTTTGTTCAGTTTCATTGAATTGAATGTTGAAGCAAGGAGAGCAAGTGACAATTTTGATGTAAAATATTTTAAAAATGCTGGTTGTGGTGGTGCACGCCTGTAATCCCAGTGGCTTGGGAGGCTGAAGCAGGAGGATTGTGAGTTCAAAGTCAGCCTCAGCAGAAGTGAGGCACTAAGCAATTCAGTGAGACCCTGTCTATAAATTAAATACAAAATAGGGCTGGGGATGTAGTGCTCAGTGGTTGAGCACCCCTGAGTTCAATCCCTAGTACCCCCCCCCAAAAAAAAAAAAATTTCTAAACGCCAGGAATATGTAAACCTTTTAATTGGAAGCACCTTTTAATTGAAGTTTTTCTATTTTCGGGTTTTTTAATATTTTTTTTTTTTTTTAGTTTTAGGTTGACACAATATCTTTATTTTATTTTTATGTGGTGCTGAGGATTGAACCCAGTGCCTCATGCATACGAGGTGATCACTCTACCACTGAGTTGCAACCCCAGCCCCTCTATTTTTGGGTTTTAATTGTGAAAATCTACCTCCTCACTGATTTAAAAGAGGGCTGAATCGAGTGTTCCTAGTCTCTCTGTGTAATATGAAATGAAATGAGTGACAGTGTAAGTGATTTGGTAAATGTGAAACCATTGGCTCATGATTCCTAGGTAATTTTTAAGCAGTGCCCTGTAGTGTGTACCATAACCTAATGGTGTTGCAAAATATTTAAAAGTTAACTAAAATGTACGTTAGCCTCATGACCAATGGCATTTCTAGTCAACTCTAAAGAAGAAAGACACTGTGGAATGCTAGAAGCACTGGACTAGAATCCATTTTCAACTTTGTGGGTGAGTTGCTGCTTCTTTGCTGAAAAGTCACTGCCCCTTTCTAAAACAGAGTTTATTTCTTTATTAATGTGAATTGAATAATATGACTTCTAGGAGCCTCTCCACCTTATTTATGTAATATATTGACAAGACATTTTTACCTTCATTTTACTGATGAGGTACCAGAGACTCACAAATTGCATGACTTTCTTAAGTTTGTATAGCCATTTAGTAGCAAAGCTAGGACACGAAGTCGGTTTTTATTTCCAGTTCTGCATATTTCAGATACTGTTCCACATTCTGGATTTTGTTTTTGGTGTTGGTGGTTTATAATAATCTGTTGAATTTAAAAAGCAATGGGGTTTTGTAAGTTTAATTAAAATGGAAATTATTCATAGAAATGCGTATTTTGATTAATTTGTGTAAAAGTAGATTCTTTTTGTTGTGTGGTTCAGATACTTCCCTAACACTGTATTTCCATTTCTCCGATGGGAGGTTTTCTTTAAGATCTCAAAAATCCACTCTGCTGCTTATTACATCATTACAATGTACTACTTCTGTGTAATAGGACAATGACAAGAATGGAATTTAAATAATTTGGTATGTGAGTCTTAACTGATGGTGAGACTTTGTGGCAGATATTTGACTCTCATCATTGTAGCCCATATATAAAGTGTTCTGCAAGCACCTGTGATTCTGCCTTGAATTTTTTTCAGCTATACACAGAGCAGAAGATAATGCCCTGGGAGCAGCCTTCAGCCAGTGATGGATGGGAGTTGGAGGATGATTATTCTAGCTTTGTTATCTTTCTGGTGATAGTCTCAGGCATTTTTGACTGTTGTCTAGAATTCCCAGAAAGACTGGTCATCACTGCTCATAGCAGGAAACTCTAATACATATTTTTTATTTCCTCTCTTCTCTGTATCACTTCCTGTTCTTTTATCACTGTTTCCTGGGATTACCTCCTAAATAAGCCTCTTGATGTTGAAACCTTGTTTAAAAGTTTATTTTTTGGACAAACTATGATTCTTTATTATGGAAATTATTTATTAATAGTGTTCATATTGTATTTTTAAAGATTTCTTTTGGATAAAATCTGAAATTGTATTTTAATATTCTATTTTAATTTGTCTTATAATTCCATCCTTGTTCAGTTTAACTTATTTAGTTTCACTTTATCACAAGGAAAAGACTCAAGGTTAGAACTAAAAGAAAAGGTTAGAACTCAAGTAGAAATGTAAAGCAAAAGATCTTAGGTGGAAATCTTTCTACACAGTCTTTTATAAAATTATAGGGTGGTATTGTGAATAACTTAAGGACAAAATAGGTTATATATTTTTGTAGAAATTGATTTAAAATGGAATTTTTTCAGTCTCAGAGATTATTTGGTAGTTGGGTCCAGTTTTCTCATATTTTACCAAGACCTGCTTATTCATAATCAGCGACTACGAAAGCCTTACCCAACATTGATTGTAAAAATAAATTTAGTGCATAGATAATTTCTACAAAGATTATTCTGTGGTGTTTGTTAAAGCAAAACTTTCTGTGATCTTATTAAGAAATGTGAAATTTACGAATTGAACAAGTTCCACATTAAATTTGAAGTACATTGTAAGTAAAAAAGAAACTATGCGGTCAATTCTGAGTTGGGTTCTTTGTGTGGATTATTCTATTTGGATAATTTGTTGCTTTGTTTGCCTGTGTTTCTTGCATCTTGTATTGTTCTTTAATATCTTTAAATTTTTTTAAAATTGTACTGGTTTTTATAATAATTATTTTTTAAATGATGTAGAAATTAGTATTTTTGGCATGTTATTCAGTCTTCTTTCCTATGTAAAATGAATGTGATTTGTGTGTCTCAAATATAGTTATATATTGATTTTGTGAGATGTAACATGGATGAAATTGTTAGCAAGGGTATAATTCTATTTATGAAGCTCTAGTAAGATTAGCATTCATGATAAATTAGCAATAAGAAAACATTTAAATAATATATTTTAATATGTTGGTTATTAAATAACATCTTTAGATTAATCTTTTTTTTTTTTTTTTAAAGCAAAGATACCAGGTGGTAGATACAATCTGTTTAGTTGCCTTGTGGCATTCTCAGATTCTACCATGTACTTGTGGCTATATGATGGGACATTTTTTGACTCTGAAACTGTACTTGTCTTTTGTAATGGTCAAGATCAACTGGGTGATTAGATTGGATAATTTGGTTTTGGGGAAAACCTGTCTTTCACTTGGGACATATCAAACTGCTTTAAAGTGACACCCTCACAGATCTAAATGGTGGCACAGTGGAATAAGGTTATCTGGTAATTATTTGCAAATATGCTTGTTTTGGTAAAAAATCTTGTTGCTTTTTTAGACATATTATTTCCAAATAGCTATGTAATTTATTACTCTATTCAGACTCGAGCCTTTTGGCATTTCAGCTATCCCATTATAGCAAGTTAAAAATCTGTGTAAAGAACTAGATGTTTTAAAAACTTGTCCAGAAAGCTGGCCCAATTTCTGGACAGTAAGTAACTTCTACAAGGAATACTAAGATAAAATTGTTAAAAATGGGGGATGTCCTTTTAATATCTTAGCTGGAAGCTGAATCCATGTGTTAAATATAACTTATAAAGCAAGTCTAGAAAATAGTCTGTTTTCAAAAATGTACATAATTTCCATTACCAGTAGACCTCTTATAAACTACATTTATACTAAGTATTGAAGTTCATTTGAGTCTTTGTTAGGCTTAAGATGTATTTGTTTTATTAGTATGTCAAATATTTGTGTTTGACATTGTTGTCTCTGTGGATGTTATTTTGATGAGTGTTATGTAAAGGGTTAGTCTATACATGAAAGTTCCACTTTGTATAATTGGTATCTTGTAGTAATCTAGTCCTTGATAAATTTGTTTCATTTTTTGCCATTTAAAAAATCTTCACTTTTATTATCTCTAGGGAAACAATTTTTAACTAAATGGTAGTATTATTAATTAAATAGTGAAAGTTTTAATATTGTTAATGCTATAATAATTTATGATGAAATTTAGCTCTGGTATTTTACATGGAGTTTTAAGGTCTAAAAGATATCACTCTTCACTCATGAATTAATATAATAGAGTTATCAATGTTAGATCCAAAATTGCTTAATTATAACGTTGTAATAGTAATCTAGAGACTTTTTTATTATTTACAAGTGGATTTCTGTTTTCAATTCAATTAAGCTTATTTGAAATGGAGATTTAAATAATCTTTCAGATAATAGAAGTATGGTAATTATGTAGTGTTACTAGCTTATTACTTGAAAAGCACTTTGGTTCAGTGTATGATATCAGCTTTTATATGATACAGTTACATGTTCTTTTGTGTTTTCCATGGAATTTTAGCTTTTTAATTGAGGAGAGAGGTGTCTATAATAGCTTGAGATTTCTGTGCCCAACTTGTGGACAGAAGTTACTCCTGCTATAAAATGGTTTAGGAAAAATATTTTCAGCAGAAATATTTTAATAATTTTAGTATTACATTGTAACAGAAAGCTGTTTGGTTGGAATCTGTAGCTTTTCTTACCGGCTTCTATCTTGTTCTCCCCACCCTCCCTCTTCTCTGTTTTTTAAATTTTAGTGGTTATATTGCCACTGCCTTCTCTACGAGTTTAGGCTTACTAGGCATTTGAAATTGGAGTTGTTTTCAATGAATTTTAGTCTTTCTGGCCAAGATGAACTCCCCTCCCTCTAAATAATGAGAGATATTTTCTAATATCAGAGCTTGCAGCATTCAATATTCTTAAAGAAAAACATGAACCTTTACCAAGTTTTTTACTCATTTGCAGTTCAGCAGAGGAACATCCTCAAGAAAGTAACAGATGGATTATGTAAGAAAATAGAGCCATTAAGGCTTTTGGGCATGGGAATTTTGTCATGTTCAATGAAGAATAATGTTTTGTCAAATGAAGAATAACGAGGTTCTATAAGTAAAAAACATAAGACAAATATTAATCATGTTTTTTTAAATCCTTGGGGAAAAGATACTATATATTTTAGTGATCTTCTATGTATTTAGGAACTAAAGTGGTAAATACTGAGATACCTGTCTGCTTCCCCTTTTTTAAGTTAATTGACAGCTCCCTCCTTTTAACACAGGTAATTCAATAATATTGTTATTGGTTAAAATTCTATTGTGCTATCATCTGCTGACATTTAAAAAATCCCTTTCCTTTTTAACATAAAAGATACTGTTATGAAGATAAACAATATCTGTCCATTTCCATTCTTCTTTTCTCTCTTTGCAGTTCCCCCTAAGATATTAAAAACAACAGCAGCAGCAGCAGCAGCAGCAGCAACAACAACAGAGGTCTACTTTTCCAATCTTGAAGAGGAACTTGGGTTTTCACTTTTTAGTGATACCTAGACCTGTAGCTTCTAGTTGTAGATAAAGTATTCATTCTCTGGTTTCTTCTTCAGCCAGACATTAAAAAAATGGAGACTGGAGCACAGATGATTTACTACCCGACATATAGCAGACCTGTGTATGAGTACAGTAATGGTATTGGGCACATTCTCCCATTTTGATGTTCAAGCATACTTTAGGTTCCCCTCCCTCTAAATTATCACTAACCTTCCTTCCAGTTTTCCTTCTCTTTTCTGTTTTCCCCTTCTCTTTTTTTGAAACATATTTGGGAAGAAAAACCCTATAGGTATGCAGTTAATTTATATTCTTAATTAATGTCCAGACCTTTAGCTTTACCTCCTAACAGAGTAGCTTTGCCCTCAATTGTACCATGCTGAGTTAGTTCATTGTCCTTCTAAATGTTACTATCAAGTTAGATAGCCTGTAAGAGTATTGAACTTTATAATGTACCAATAAAAAATGTGGAATGAATAAAAAAAAAGTATTGGATTTAAGGAAAAGGGTGAAAGGAAGAAATAAGTTTTTAAAGGCATCAGGTTTCATTGCTCATGACAATTTTTGATCTTATGTCAAATAAAAAATCATTCATAAGGAAAACAAATCATTTTATAGAAGTGTCTGTAAATATGTATGTATTTGTGTTGTTTTCTTTATCTCCTAAAATTATTAATAAAAATTGCTTATAAGTTTCTTCTTGAATGGGATTATTTTCTATATAGTAGGGCAAAATCTGCAAGCCTAAAGCAGTATACTTTAGTCTGGGTTTCTTTGATCACCAGTCATCTGAATGGATGCAGCTTCTCCATGTTGTTAGCATTTTTCAACCAAGGTCTTTTTTTCCCTTTTATATAATGAGGAATGTCATTTTTTAAAATGTTTTTTGGCTGAGTTACTCTAGACTGGCTGACCAAGAACATTTGCTAAGCCAAGGAGAAAGTAAAGATTGGTCGTCTCTGCTTATGACAATATATTGTCATTCACATATTGTCAAATCAGTGAGTTCTCAGAAATGAAAACTCTTGGAAATAGGAACTCTGATAGTTGTTTCCAGTATCATATGTGCATTGGGAAAATGGCCAGATATCAATGTTATTTGAGGGAGCAAAATCTGGGGGAAAAAATCAAGAAAGAAAAGTTAGAATTGTAAAGTGGAGAGGTCAAGGTTGACCATAGGTATAAAAAAGAACATGTTATACGTGCTGGTAAGGAACTATTTTTTTTTGTTTTAATTAATAATTAATCAGAAGCAGGCATAAATGAGATTGTACCATGGAAAAGCTTAATTCATGCAGATTCAGGAACATAACAGATTACACAGTCATGGGAGCATTTGGTGAACAGTATAGAGTTAACTGTTCATCAGGAATTGTTTAGGTGTGAGATTCTGCTCAGGGAACGTTTCAGAGATCATGTGACCTTTAGAAATTTCTTGTAGTTGAATGTGGAATTCAAGAATTCATTATAAAGGGTAAAGCAACCATTTCGTGTGTTATGAAATGGTAGAGGGAAGCAAGAAAGAATATGTCTCACAACAGAAGTTTCAGAATTATTATTGCCTTAAATTCAAATCTATTAGTAGGACAATCAACTTTATGGATGGTTACACAAATTATATAATTACTTAGAGACTATATATGAAACTTCTACACATTTTTGTGGAAATTGACAAGTGATATGAGTATAACTTTTGGAAAGGCAAAGTTTTGGTATTTTTTACTAACAACTAGAATCCTTTAGGAACATTATGAAATTTCAGAAAATCTGAATTGAAGATTGTGCTACAGAAATGTTTCAATTTTTCATTAAAATTTAAAAGAGATGTTTGGATTGAAGTCCTTCAGTTTTACTCTTTGGTCATAAAATGATCTTTCTTAATCTGGCACAGACATCAAGGCATCTGCAGCTATGATTTTTTGGAAGTTAATGTCATTTTATAAGTGTTAGCTGTGCCTTTTAAATAGTAATGTACTTCAATTTTTTTGGCAATTCTTAACAATTTCTTTAAATGTCACAAATTTAAAAATATTTCTTAAACAGCACAGTATTTTTAGTATATACCTAGTTATTGAAAATAATATTTGTATTACTCAGCTTCACTATAGTATATAATACAGGTCGAATCCTACCATAGGGAGTACTGTTGTAAAGTCTGTACAACAACACAATTCAAGCAGTACACAAACAGTAGACTTATAGTAAAAGAGAATTTGGATGGTCCGATATGTGCTGATCCACTTGAATAAGATGTGTCTATTAAGAATACAATAAGATATGTCTATTAAGAATACAGTACCTATTGTATTCTGTCAGCTGCCTTTGTGGAAATAACTTTGGGTACCTCAGTGCCTATTCAGAGGGTAGTGACAGAGTACTTTGGCACTTTCTCTGTCTATAACTTGCAGGAGGAGTTTCTTTTGATTATTTCCAGTGATCACAAGTCAAAAAGGACAGAAAACATTGGGATATTTAAAAAATTAACTTAGACTCTTGTCAGATAACCTGTACCTGTAAAGTACCTATTAAAATCACATTAATTTTAAAGAATACTTAAAAAAAAAAAAGAAAAGTTTTAGATTCACAGCAAAATTGAGCAGGAAGTACAGCGCCCACCCCCCATTCTTTTCTAGAATGTCCTATGGTTAGAATTATATAGTATACAGACTTTTCAGATTGGCTATTGTTTTCCTTTACTAATATGTAATTTATTTTCCACCATGTCTTTTCATGATTTGACTCATTTCATTTTAGTGCTGATAGAGTTCCACTGTCTGGATATACCACAGTTTACCTAATAATTCACTCACCTACCGAAGTATATCTTGGTTGCTTCCAAGTTTTGGCAGTTATGAGTAAAACTGTTGTATATATCCATATGCAGGGTTCTGTGTAGACGTACATTTTCAACTCACTTGGCAAGATACTAAGGAAAGGCTGTTGCTGGGTTGTATTAGAAAACTATGTTTAATTTTGTAAGAAACTGGCACACTGTCTTCCACAATGACAGTACTGTTTCATCTTCTCACCAGGAATGGAAGAAAGGTCCTATTGCTCTACATTTTCTACATTTGGTGAAGTCAGCATTTGGGATTTTTTTGAGTCAGGATCTTTCTGTGTTCCCAGAGCTGGCCTCAAAATTCCTAGGCTCAAGCAATCTTTCTGCCTCAGCTTCCTGAAAGGTGGAGACTAGAGACCCATGCCACCACCCCCAGCTTATCATTGTAGTCTTAATTGGCAATTGCCCAGTGAAATATGAAATTGAATATCTTTCTATGGGTTTATTTGCTGTCTCTAACTTCTTGGGGAGATGTCTGTTCAAGTCTTTTTAGCACTTTTTTTTTTTTTTGCACAAATTGAGTTATTTTCTTATTGTTGAGTTTTAGGAGTTCTTTGTTTATTTTGGGTAATAGTCCTTTATCAGATTTGTATTTTTCTAGTATTTTCTCCCAGTCTGAGGCTTGTTTTATTGTTCTTGAACTATCTTTTGATACTGAGGAGAGATTTTTAGTTCTAATGAGGTCAAATTATTAATTCTTTCTTTGTGGACAAGTGTAGCTGTCTGCTGGGCAGAAAATGCCCTCATTTCCTTGCCATTTGGGCTTCCTCAGCATGGAAATGTTCTTAACTAAAGCCAGCAAGGGAGAGTCTACTAGCATGATAGAAGTCATTCTTTGGTAGTCTAATCATGGAAGTGACATACACCCTCAGTGTTGGTTAGAAAGAAGTTACTCAAGGGAAGGTATTATATGGTGTCATAAATACAGAGAAGCAGGGATCCTTTTATAACCCCTAAACAGACTTATTTTAAGATTTATTTTAGTGGGCTGAAGGAACTGAGACCGTCCTGTGTTTTGGCTCTGAAGGTCTCCTAAAATTTAGGAATTATTTGTGGCAGGAATTATCTCTGTAGGTTTCTCGAAGGTCTTTTGTTATCTTTCTGCTTTCCATGAAAATAAATACAGGTTTCAGATCTTGGACAAAATTCATCTTCTACCATTTGTTTAATACTTCACTATGATAGTTTTCAAAATACTGTCACATATATTATCATTTAGTCATCTCACAGTGCTCTCAGTGAAATAACACCAGCTCCAGAGTATCTAACAGGAAAATCTGATTATGAATCTTCTCCAACATTCTTTAATGCCTTTTCATTACCACTGGGATAAAATCTAAATGCCTTTGCAAGGCTCTTCAAGAACTTTTCTGGTTAGCCTCATCTCTCCTCTTCATGTCCTCTTTAGCCATCTCAGATTGTCCTGAGCACTTTGGTGATTTTATGTTTCCTGTCCATGATGCCTAGAAAACCCTTTCAGCACCCGTCTGCTTGTTCAGTGCCTCAGCACTCTCAGTTCAGAGACATTCTAGAGGATGGATAGTGGTTCAGGGCCAGGGACTGATAGACCCTGGTCATTTGTCTTTTCCCCACAACTAATCCCACACTAAAACAGTAGGATATTTTCTTGTGACTTCTTTATTTTGTCAGTTCCTTTCCTATGTTATATGTGTTCTTTGAATGTTTTTTAACAGATTGCCTGACCTTTAGAAAGATGTATATCTATACAGTGTATAAAATACATAATATGTATACTCAAATTTAAATGATATATATTAATATTTAGATATGTTGCATGTGCTGTCTTTAAATGGCATGTACAGCAATGCATCTATATAATTTATAACTATATATGACTATATTATGTATACTAAACACAAACCATGTCTCTGAACCTAAACATCTAGGCCTTTTTTTGTTTTTACTTTCCTTCCTATAGTTATGAAAGCCTTTTTTTTTGTTTAACTGAGCATTTTTTTCAAGTTTTGGCATAGAATGGGTTTCACCTTCCTTCCAATTGGTTTGTGTTTCATCCTTCTTACAAATCTTAATATTAGCTACCATATGATAACATGCTGTCCCAGTGACTTAATCCTTAAAATACTCATTTTTTTTTTTTACACATTTAGAATGGTTGAGTAGCTTTTGATGCCACCCTATAATAACTGGCTAAGCCAGGACATAAATTTAACTTGTAAGTAATGAGTAGAAAAAAAATGCCCTCAGGCATGATTTTCATTCTTGAATGAAGTTTCTTCATGAAATGGGGCAGTGTGATATGACAGGTTCTTTATGAGTTTATTGAGCATGTGTGATATGACAGTTTCTTTATGAACCATGTGAAATTGCTTATATTCAATCACTTTTTAAACAAACTGCAATTTAGTGTGATTCAAACTTACTTAATCTTCACAACAACTTCATTTTAAGGTAGATGTTTTCATAGGTTAGAGAATAGTTTCAGGTGAAGTATTAAAAGTAACCAACTTATTAGGGATATAGAATATCTTGTTTTACAGGAACTATCCATTTAGATCATATCAGTTTTTCCTTGAACTTTTGGGAATTTGTGCTTTGTGAATCTGGTGTGAATTTTTTGCCCAATATTCCCTCATTTTGCTGTCTAGGATGATACCATCTTTTCTTTCTCACTTTCCAAAACTACTGTCTCACTTTTCCTGGAACATATTGTTCATTTGTGAACTGGTTCTCGTGTTGTCTTCACTACTCTCCTTTACTTGATATTCCTCTCCAAATTCCTACAGCCTGTTTCTCATGCAATTTTAGCACTAGGTTATTTTCTTTTTATGCGTTATCTTCTCTGCGAGATTATGAACACATGAGGTTTAATGCTTTTA